TCGGCGACGGGGAGAGGCTAGAGGTTGATTAGACCACCGTTGCCTGCTTGAAATGCACTGGGTCCGTAAGGATCCGCAGCGCTTAGAGATCTTCACACAGTGTGAAGTCTCCTCCTCCCTTGTTCGTGGAGTCCTCCAACTTGGGCGGAAACCACTCAAGCCTTTTATACGGCTAGCAAGCCAATCACTAGCCGCTACGTGTGAATAATTTAGAACTGGCCAATAATGGGACTCGAATTAGCATACAAATGGCGGGAACTCTTTGCAACGAGCATTTCTGTGCTGCAACAAAGAAATGCACCCTGCAAAGAAAGCTTCAAATTGGCGGGAAATTCTCCCTTGCACCGGGGTTCTCTTTTGCAGCAGAAAACTCCACCGTGCAAGGAAGCTGCAATTTAGCGGGGACAATTTAGCAGTGCCGAAGCACACAAAAACAAAAATCACACCCTTTGGGTTGTGACATTTATATTACTGGAGCCAGCACAGTTGCTGGCCCCAGACTCTAGCTCCCCTTGGCTGCAGATCCAGGAGGTGCCAGGCAGGGTTATTTTGCCCCAAGTGGCACAATTTGCTCCACAACAAAGTGCATGTCCGGACACGTGTGCTAAGGCAAAAAGCCCTGGCTCAAATTTGCACCGCTTTTATTTGAGCTGCTGCAAGTGCACATGCTTGCATGTGTGGATGCGCCCAACATCTTCTAACTTTAACACCACTTAACATTCCACAGATCTGGTGTGGTCTAAGTATGATGCGTAACTTCAGCCCGAGTTGAGATCCCATGTAAAGAAGTTTCTCCTTTGCCTCAAAATTCAGGTCTTAATGCACAATACAATCCATTGTTATGTGAATATCAGAAGAGTGATTTTGACCTATGATTATTTCATAAGTGAGGACAAAAATATGAACTTAAATTAAAATTATAATTAAAGCACAGGATAATATTGTAAAATGAAATTAAGATGAGTGAAACAAACCTGTTAGGAACCATTTAGATTTGAGAGAACTTTAAGCTCGCTCCAAATTATAAGAAAGTAAATGCAATGCTTTATAGAATTTTATATATCAAAGACACAAATAGACTGAGCCTGTACTAATGTTCTCCTTCTGGTATTTTTATTCAGATATTAGACTGCTTTTCCAATTTAATTTGGCATCCTGACATAGTCTCTGAATGTTCTACAACAGCTGCAATTCCAGCCCCTGTTTATTTTGGTGCTATGATAGACAAAAGAGGCTTGAAATGTGGGAAAAAAAGCTGTGGGAAGCAAGGAGCTTGTAGGATATATAATTTCAATACATATAGGTACATAGGATGTCTTCTTATTTTAATAAACACTTAAGAAATCTAATAAAACCCTATGTTAACAGTCTTTGTCATTATCCCTGCTTGATTTCACACTTAAAAATTAGGGAATGCCAAAGTAAAGGCTTCATGACCTTCCAAATAAGTCTTGTACTTCCATGGTTGTTTTCCAAGAAGGGCCTCGGTAACAGAATTTAAAGATCATACTATGAAGTAACGCTGCGACTACTTTGTTCCAGTCTAACAACACAAAGCAAACAGAAAACTATCCTAATAACTGGAATTTCTTGATATGAGAGAGGCCTACATGACCTAGATCCACCCACTTAGCTATTGGCCCCAAGTATAAAAAACATGGTCTGGTAGGAAGGGACATTTCTGGAACAGCTCTCTACTTTGTCTATTCTCAGCTGCCACAAAGGCACATTAGAATCATGAACTGCTGGTCTCAAAAGCCAGAGCAACTGTGTGGCTTCTCTAATATAGATGGGAATCTAAACTGGTACTATGAGATGTCATAGAGAGGTGTCACAGAGACAGGTGTCCTATTTTCTAATATTTTCTAGAGACTATAATTTAAGATGGCAGGGAAGAAGTTTCCAATCCACACCTAGCCTGTAAGAAGCTTGTTTCTAATAGCTCTTTGGGCTAGATGTGCCTGAGAGAAGGAGGATTAGCTCTTAGGAAAGGGTAAGCATATGAAGAAAGAGCCTGTGACAAATAACCTGAAGCATTCTTATTAGTAATATTCACACTCTTGAAAAAGTCACAGAGTGATCTGTTTGTCGGTGGAACATCACACTCCACGAATCAGCACATTTTTAAAAGAGAGGGTCTTCTAATGAAATGATACAAGCACCTGTTGTTAAGGATAATCTCTTGACTAGAACATTACTATAAAGACATATTTGAAAGCTTTTAGCACTTTTTTATGCCTTTTTAGAACTTGATTGGAAAATGAAGGATATTATAATTTCCCTTGCAGTCTTTCAGTGGTTATAATGATAACATTAAAAAAAAACAATGATACATAATTCCAGTGTTTTCCTCTTCATTGCACAGGATAAAAATATATATATATTAATCCCTAGAAACAGGGATAGTGCAATAGTGCAATATACTTTAACATAACAGATTGTCTCTTCTGTATGCTATTTTGATTGGTTAATGTTTTTTAACTATGTCCCACAATCCCCAGTTCTTATTCAGCCAAAACTACCATGGATGTCAATGGCAATTTTCCCTGAAAGTTGTTTGAGGGACCAATGCTGCTGCTATTATTCAGATTAACTTTCTCTATTCATGAGTGTTCCCATGGAAATCTATCAGAACAACTGAATAAATAAGGATGATGTAGTTAAGGATTCCAAAATCAGTGCCAAGACAAGGACTCAGAGTCCACCGAAATCAGGGAAGAAGGTTTATTATAAAATATTATAAAATTTCCTCTCTCCCCGCTTTGTTTTACTTTCCTATCTGCTTTTATTCAAAATTTTAAAAAATGAAAAAAAAATTAGCTGCCTCTAAAATTGTTCAGAAACTAGGAAACAAATGTCCTGAATATATTTAATTTTTTTCTTTTTTTTTGTTGTGTGTGCTTGGTGGCATATTATGTAGTGGTGTCTTTTGTGAGTTGGGTTGTGCTGTCTTTTGTAGTATTATTATTTTGTGGGAATGGCGGAGGAAAAGATATGCAAACTTAAAATGCTGGTGTCATTTATTCTCAAAATTCTAAAAATTTTAACCATCTTTGATTTCAGTATTTACCCCCACATTGTGCTTATAAAACCTGAACATGAACATACAGTTAGAAACTGCCTTTGTCCCTTTCACATGCATGTTACTTCATGATCCGCTACAGTTTTTGCAGAAGGAAAAGTTTCCTTTGTACAAACACTAGCTGACTCCTTCTCATATGGTACATCTGTATTTTTCACATCCTTGCTATCTGGTCCAAATTGTTTCTTTATTAAAATGAAGAGCACTATATATAGAAAACAGCATGCTGTCCTTAGTCCAGAAATGAATCCAAGATAGACATTTCTAAAAAAGAAATAACAAAATGAATTTCTATAATGAACTTCTATTTCTACTATTACTTGACAGGCTTACATGGAATTGGAGACTTGGGCCATGGACAGATATTACACGTACAGGGCTACAAACACCTTTGTAGCACTACAAAAGTAAAGTATTCAGGCGTGCATGTCCTCTATAGTGCTATAGAAATGGTTCTGGATGAAACAGGAAGGGCTTTGTAGCGCTATGTTTCGTAACACCACATGTAATGCGTTTCTAGTGCACCAAAGGTATTTCAGTCCCCTAACATCCAACAGTACTCTGCTATTCCCACCACCTCCAAGGGGAAAGGACAGAAATCAGGATGGACAGTTATTGAGTGTAGCCCTGGGGGACAGCCACCTGGCTGGAGAGCACTTCACTAATGCCTTCTTAGCAACTATGTGCACTCCAGGCAGGGGGCTCTACACACCTGCTTAGGCCTGGTATGGCTGTGTAGTGCTTCTAAGTGTTAGCACTAGTAGCACCACAAATTCACCACTGTCCATGGCCAAAGATGTAAAATGCACAATTATAAAGAAATGTATGTGCTACACTTGACACCCTATGACCTGTGTACAGTACAAAAAGATGTGACAGAACAGTATTCTGTTTGCTTTATGAGTCCTCCAAAGACAGCATCTACCAATGACAAACTGGAGTTACTTGGGAGCAACAGTTAATAGAATCAGGCCTTCAGGAAGCCCTATGCTATCTCTACCTCTGCTTTCTGGACTGAGTAGATTTTTGACACACAGAAGAGGATCAGCTTAAAAAGATTTGCTTTGTCCTTCAGTCCTGTCTTTCATATCTGATCCCAAACACTTCACAGCCACACAAGAAAATCAAAGGAAAAAGGTCAGTTGACCCTTGGAACAATATCTCTCTCTGTATAAAAAGCATCTATCTTAGAAAAATGTGAATAGTTTAACTGGATTGAGATAAACAAAATATTGGCTGGTAATGGAGTTCAGTGAAAAGCTGTGTGTGGTAGGGAGCCAAAGAGGAGGATTTATTCTAGTTTTCTGTTCCACTCATAACCATAATAGCTGAGCCTTGTCCAGTATTCTAAGGGTTCATTAGACCATTACAAATCTTGGTAATCCATCTACTCGGAGCAAAAAAAAAAGATCTCCTGAAATTTCAATCAGAAGAACCAAAAGGATGTGTTTCTTATGATCTCTGAAGGACTAATCAACAAAATATGAGGTTTGGAGGTTTTAAGATTGTCCAATCAATGTATTTATACATATACATGTATAAGTATGTTGATGGGGAAGGCAATACGTTAATTAGAAGTGGTTGGAAATGGGTGGGAAACTCCCCTACAATTTTTTTTTCAGTGAAGAAATTATTTTTTTTTAATCATTGTTTTCGATTCCAGAAACTGGACTCTGAAAATGTTCATTTAAAAACAAAAGGGAGTTAAACCTTAAACAAAATAAAATAAACCCCCCAATTTCAATTTTTCAATGAAACTATTCAGGTTTGGAGTTTTTATTGTCTGATGAATTAGAACATTTTTGAAGAAAACAAATGTTTTCTATGAAAAAGTGTTTCATCAAACACAGACTTTTCATGGAAGTTTTTGAACCAGTCTGATTAACTCAATGGATGCAGCTGGCTGATGAAAAGGAGATAAGAGCCACATGGGATACATACCTGATGGTTAATGGTGCTTGAAAAGCCAAGCTGAATTTCTGTTCCCTTTCCATCATTTAATCTTACCTGAATGCTTTTGTATCATATACTCTGCAAGACCCCGATCCTCCACAGCTCTTGGTTCCCCATTTCAAACATGTCTGATCTATCAGTGCACCAAAATAAATAGGAGCTGGAAGTCCACCTAGAAAAAAAACAGATTACATGGCATTTATAGGACTCTTATTTTCTAGGGGAGGAGACAGGTAAGTGGATTTAGGATTCCTATTTTCTACTCCTATTAGTGATCAGTTAGAGAATCTTGGAGAAATCAATTTGCCTGTGTTTTCCCACCTGCTAAACAAGGTTGATTTCCTACTCCACCACCTTGTTACTTGCTGGTAAAAGTATGTAAAGTGAATTTAATTCTTTAAATTGAAGAATCTGTGGGATTGCTGAGCATTATTGTTACTTCCAAATAAGGAAAAAGAGGGTAATAGTTTCATTGTAATAAGTGCACCATATCAATTTGGCCTCTCTTTCAGGAAAACGACACTTCATTAAAGGTCAGTTCAGTCCTAAGGCCACTGCAATTGTTGAGGCACCTTAAATGCTGCAGCTCACTTCATTAAAACTTTGTCTCTTTTCACTTTCCTTCTTCTTTGATCTATTTCTGGGTTTGATTTGTCTGCCGCTTTTTATCATTCCAGAAGTACATCCACTAAAATATTTTAAAACTAAGTAACTACTTAGATCAGTGCTAAGACTACTATTCAGCCAAAATGCTTTTATTTAATTGGGGTCAAAAACATTTCTTCACCCACTGGCAGATATTTTTTCCTAAACATTGTTTTCAAAATCAAAATCAATGAAAAAATAGTTAGTGATTGAAGTTCAGAAGTGTTAGGCAAAGTTTCTTTACATAAAATAAGATGAGCCACATCTAATCTCATTTAGGAATTGCCCTCTTCAGCAAGTGGATGGGGAAAGGGTGGGGGATTTGGGGACAGGTCCAAGTGACAGTATAGTAAAGCAATTGTGAAAGTACAGCCCAAAGGCTACTCATAGGTTACAGTAAGAGTGCCCTTATGGGGGCTGTTAGGAAATGTGTCCTAGGTTTTTCACCTAAATAAGCCATTGCTAAGAGATGGAAGTAGATAGAGTCCATGATATGCTCAGAGAGGATGCTTAGGGAGAGGGCCCAATGGCTGTTGTGGGAAAGGGAGTGATTGGAGACGTGAACCTAAAGGAGTAAGTCAGACAAGATTCCAACAACCAAAGTGTTAAATCATAATCCTCGAGTGCCTCTCTATGGGACGTTAAAACAGTCTCTACATTTCAATCACCTTTCTTTTCCTCAGTCCTACATCATGCAGAGGCTTGATAGTTCTATTGCATTCTCAAGTGCTTAGCATTGGGAAGCAATGAGAGCTGAGAAACATTCCCTGCCCAGATAGGTGCATTTCACTAAACCGTGTATTTGGAAGCTTTGGTTTCTTCTAATGAAGAACAAGGGCACTACACTGTCTAGTTTGATCTGTCTCCATCATAGTCTATTTAAATGTCAACAGGAATAAAGAGATAAGAAAAAGAAAAAAAGATTTTACCAAGTAGCCTTCCGATTAAAGTTTCAGTCCCGACAGCAAAGGATTTTAAGTCTGGAGAAACAATTCTAAAAGGAGTAGTAAAATAAGTGTAAATTGAACATTCACAAGATTAGCACTTACAGTAATATAATGAGCTTAGAGCTACATTGTATATATCTGTACCTGTTCGGTTGTAACCAGAACATCACAATTGCAATCTTTTAATCTAAAAAACTCTACTAAATTTAAAATGGCTTCCTCATTGGAATAAATGACAAAATTCCTATTGAATAAAGAGGTTCAAGTGCAGGTTCAAGAGCAGACTCTATTGTACATGGGAATTAGGCTCAAGTAAAGGTACAGGAATAGTCTTTTGGCATTCAGAAAGTATTAAATTGGGGCCAGGTCTCTTAATCTCAAGAGTGTTGGGGAGGACGGTGTAGGTCTGAAGAGTGAGGAACTCAAGTGTGATCTTCAACATGCAAATGAAGCACTCAACTATATACTCTCTTCCTCAGGCATGTTCTTACTACTAGACTGGAGTAGTTTAAGGAATGGATCCTACAACAGAATTATTTCAATGTATTCCCTCTCCTGCTAATCACTTCTTTTCTTATACATGCTATAGTCTGCATGGCTAGGGACAGACATTCAAAAAGTCTGAGCCTGAATTGATTCAATCTTTGCAGGTTAGTCTAACCTGGCTAGGCTAAATCAATTTTATAACCAAACAGACATCCCAGAAATGCAGGCACATGCCTCCAGTAGCTCAAGCTAGAAGCTGGGGGGTGCTAGAACAACCCTCCCTTCCCTTGCACAATACTGAGCTGAGGGAGGCATGGCCAGGCTCCAGCAGGACACTATGATTAGCCCAGCAGGGAATTGGTAACAGTGTTTATCACCCCATTAAAAAAACAACAGAGGGACATTACCAGTTATCTGTTGATTCTACCTGTTGATTCAGCCCCGACTGTAGCCAGCATGTGGTCTGCTAACTAATACACAGACACCTGTCCGCAAGGCAGAGGGGAGGGGAATTCTTGCTTAGCAGGGAGTGGTAAGGGGAGAGGCATGAGCAGCCCTCAGTCTCTGCCGCCCAGCCCAGAGAGAATACCAGGATGCTGGGGATGTCTGATTTATCTTAAACCAGCAAGGGGTCTGGGACAGACATTGCATAAACTGGTTTGACCCAAATCAGTTAAGTCTGATATTTATTACATTCAACCAGGTTTATCTCAAACCAGTTTCAGCCATTTTCAAACTGGTTTATGTGCACTGAACATGTGTTCTATTACAGGTTTAAACCAGTTTCTGATCACTTACTTAAACTGGTTCACGTGTAATGTCTGTTCCTAGCCCAGATGATTGAATTTAAGGCTGTTGTCAATTCTCCAGAAGGCATATTTAACTAGTTGTAGCTAACTAACTCAGTGTGTGGTGAACACAAGATAGATCTTAACTGATTACATTAATGCAAAATCTATGTCTGACTCTCACTAGCTTTTATAACAAGGTATCTCAACTGACACACTGTGAAGAGTTAGCCTACATCCATCAGGTAAATTAGAAACAAATCACCAGAGAAGAACACCTGAGTGCCAAGGGAACCAGAGGAACCCATTATCATTACTGTATTTAATGCATACCCATAACAGATCCTAATCCTCTCAGGCAGTGAAAAGAAACCATTTAGAAGGGAAGGATAATGCAAACGGAACACTTAAAATATAGTCCATTTTTAGACACAAACAGAAACAGGCTTTGGTAAGTAAGGCACAATGGTTTGTTTTTACCTTCATATTTAAAAAGGCAGTGTTGTTCATAGATTCATAGATTGTAAGGCCGGAAGGGACCTCGAAAATCATCGGGTCCAGCCCCCCGCACCAAGCAGGAAAGATAACTGGGGGATCAGGTGACCCCAGCAAGGTAACTGTCTAGTCTCCTCTTAAAGATTTCCAGGGTAGGTGATTACACCACTTCTGGACGGAGCTTATTCCACAGTCTGGACACCATGACTGTGAAGAAGTTTTTCCTAATGTTCAGCCTAAGTTGTTCTTCCAGGAGTTTGTGGCCATTACTCCTGGTTTTCCCCTTAGGTGCCCTGATGAACAGTTGCTCACCGAGCCCTTGATGTACTCCCCTAATGTAGCAATAAGCTGCTACCAGGTCCCCTCTCAGCCTTCTTTTCCTCAGGCTGAAGAATCCCAGATCCCTTAGCCTTTCCTCGTATGGCTTGCCATGAAAGTCTCTGACCATATGGGTGGCCCTTCTCTGGACTCTCTCAAGCTTGTCCACGTCCTTGTTAAGGTGTGGTACCCAGAACTGGATGCAGTACTCCAGCTGAGGTCTCACCAGTACTGAACAGAGTGGAAGAATCACCTCCTTGGTTTTGCTGGTGATGCATCAATTGATACATGCCAGAGTATTATTTTCCCTACTGGCTACAGCATCGCACTGCTGGCTCATATTCATACTGTGGTCTATTATTACCCCCAGGTCCCTTTCATTTGTGGTGCTACTCAGTTTGATGCTGCCAAGCCAGTAGGTGTGTTGGGGGTTGCTTGTCCTGAGGTGGAGCACTTTACATTTAATGACACTATCATCAGATTCCGATCCGCCCAACTTGCTAGCCTGTCTAGGTCCATCTATAACTGTAGCCTATCTTCAAGTATGACCACGTTCCCCCATAATTGTTTACTGTTTTGTTTTGTGATAGTCCATTGTTTTTGCTGCTGACTTTATTCATCATGTTCCAATTTAAGATAAAATTGATTTTTTTTATATTCCACAGCATGTGGGGAGGTAATTGAAACAGTCTTAGAAATACCAAAAAGTCTGATTTCAGACATGCAGCACTCCACCTTGTGTAATCCACTTTATAAAGGAGAGTCCTTTGTTATGACCCCCTACGTAACAAATTATACGTGCCTTTTACAAACAGCTTAGCACCAGACCTAATGTCAAGTCCTTTTGTCTAATTACCAAATACCGTATCTTCCTGAGATTCACAATAATGACTATCCAACCCATCATGTAAATCCTAGCCAGGAACCAAGTAGGAATTCAATTATGGATATGTGCTTTGCTGGCCTTTCGAACAGAGTGGGATGAAACAAGAATGTCAGAAAAATCACTGCCATTTCAGATTAAATGTCATTCTTCAGAGCAGAAATTAAGTAACATGCATTCATATTATATTACATTTTGTGAAGGTAAGGTAAAATACTTCACCTAAATATAATGACGTATGTAGGCGTGCTTACTGCAGACAAAATAAATGCATATGCAGTCAGTAATACTAAAAAGTAGGGAAATTTGTTGGTACAGCTTTCCCTTTGGCATTGTCCCAAAACTGCAGAGAAATTGCTAAGCCCAGAGCTTTGAATATCCATACAGCTGCAGTTGTGAAATATCTGAAAGAAGACGACGGAATAAATAATTTCACAGGAACTCAGAATTTTCTAAGGAACTAGAAAACTGTAGTTAAAAATTTGCATAAAGTAACAGAAGAATCCTAAATACTTTGCAGACTGTTATCAAGATTAACACATACGCTCCAGTTGCTGGACCTAGATTCTTGACACCACATGAATTATTTTTAGAAATATTTTTCTCAGAACAAACTAGGCCCTCTTTGACAGTTGTGCAAATCGATCACCTTTAATGTTTGTAGAGTTATGACTAAGTGGAACGTATGACCAACTGGAACAAATCTACCCAAATTCAAGACAATTTCAACTGTAAGACAACCCCATCCCCCCCCCCCGAGTAATTAAGTTCTACACATAGAAATGATATAAATAGATTATAATTTTCCACATATAGAATCCAATTTTTGTATTGGTAGAGAGGCAGACAGTGGTAGGGGGCAAGGGGAGGGGGAGTCAAGCTGCCTGACCCCCCACCTCTTTCTCCCCTGCCACTTGTCCCTCTCCACATAGTATTTACACCCCCTGGTACCTGCCTTTCCTTTTGCCACTAGCCCTGCTTTGCTACCTGGACATTCCCTCTCTTGCCCACCCCCTCACTGTCTGCTCCCCCCAGGGGCACTTGCCCGCCCCCCCCCACACACACACACACACTTGGCCACCCATCTCCACCCTTCTTCCACCACATCTTACCCTCAGTCATGGCTCTGGCTCCAGTCCTGCTATGGACAGACAACAGTGGTTGAGGCAGTGGCAACTCTGGTCCCAGCCCCAGAGCCAGAGCTGCCACCTCTGCTGCTCCTGCTACTGCCTGTCCAAGTCGGGTCCAGAGTTACTACATGCTCCATGCCTCAGGCTGTAGTGGGGTCAGAGTCATGACTGAGGGTAAGCAGCAGTGGGGGCAGTGGGGAGGAGCAGAGGCAGCAGGGGAATGGTGGGGAGGGTAAAAGCAGAACAGGGCAGAGGCAGTGGGGGACAGGCAAGGGGGCAGAGGTGACAGGGAGGCAGCAGCTGTGACTGTGGCTCTGACTCCAACTCTTACTCCTGGCTGAGGCTGGAGCCAGAGCTGAAGCAGCTGCCTTCCCCATGTTGAATGGGGAGAAAAACCTCATCTTGGATTTGAGTAAATACAGTATTTCATATCAACTTGTTGAATTTTAGACCCGGTTTACACTTACAAGTCTGGTTGGCTATGCCAGTAAAACCCTTACATGTAGTTACACTGTTGTAACTAATGTTACTACCATAGGATCAAAGGAAAATAGAGCTGAAAGGGACCTCATGAAGTCATCTAGTTCAGCCCCCTGCTCAAGATATTATAATCTCTGACTAAAAGTCATCCTAGCCAGTGTCTGTCTAACCTGATCTTAAAAATTTCCATGGATGGAGCTTCAACAGGTAGCCTGTTCTAGTACTTGATCACCCAAATATTCAGAAAGTTCTTCCTAGTCTCTAATCTAAATTTCCTCTACTGCAACTGGAATCCCATGCTCCTAGTCCTATCCTCTACAGCCACAGAGTAACATCTATCTCCATTCTCTTTATAATCTCCCTTCATGTATTTGAAGACTGTAATCAACCTCCCTCCACACCACGGTCTTCTCTTCTGTAGACTAAAGTCAGCCCTGCAGCCCCAGAAACTGTCCCAAGAGGCAAGGGAGAGTTCCTACTTCTATATAGAAAATCAAAGGGGTTAGGGTCAAAGCCAACCGGACAAAGAGAAGAAACAGGTAAAAGGTAAAGAAACATCAACACTGCGCTAATGTACACACAGAACCTTAATTTTCCCCCCCACACACCTCCAGAGGTGTCCCCCAACAAGTGTTTAGTCCTTAGAGGGCTCAAACAGAAGCCTGCAGCTTCCCCCAGTCTGAGTCCAGGTCCTTCAGTCCACAGTCCTGGCTGACCAAGCCAGTGAGATCTCCAGCTCCCCTGTGCACTCCTTTGTATAGGGGTGACCAGAGTCCACATACATGCTCCTCCCTCTTCCAGTTACTCCAGCCTCAAGGTTCCTCTTTTTCCCTTATCCCTTAGCCCCTAGGGGTTTCTGGGAGTTGTAGTGCAAAGTAATAGCACAGATTTGCAGACTGCCCCAAGGTTCCACCTACTTTTACACACATTACATTCACATTATAATAATCTTAGTTCATTCAGTTTTTCCTCATAGTTCAACAAGGTTTATGCTAGATCATGAAATTAGTATAAACAATACCGGTATAAACAATTTTATATGGCTATAACTAGGTGCACACCAGAAGATTTTGCTGGTATAGCTATACAAGTCTATATAGAAAGTCTAATTATATTGGCTATCCTTTCCTAGGGTAGACAAGTTCTCAGCTGTGTTGCCCATGGCCTCTTCTATATGATATATTTATGCTGCAATTAAAGTGTTAATTGCAGCACAGATAGGCAAGTTTCTACATATGCACTCAATTTAAGGTGCCATAAAGTGGGGAATAAGACAAAAAAAATTTCCAGATATAATGTACAACTTTTATTTGTATGGTGCTTTGAATGCAACATGTAGCTGGTGGCTAATGATCAGCTGGTTGGTTGTCACCCAGGCTGGAGGCTGGGCTTGGGGAAACCAAAAGGCTTCCCCTGCTGGGTCTTTAAACCCTGAACTGGGTTGCCCTGGCTACGGTGGAGTTGGCTGCAGGGTTGGCTGCAGGGAGTCTTTGGCTTCCCCTGCCAGGACTGCCCAGGCAGCCTGGTGCAGAAGAACAGAGGCTCCAGGTGTTGCAGAGCAAAGGTTTCCCCATGCCAGGCTACCTGACCAGCACTGTTCAGTGTGGGATTTAAAGTTCCCGGTGCAGTCCCCCAACTGAACTGACAATCAGCTGATTGTCAGATACCTAGCGTTCAACTTGCCCAGTAAAGGGGGAGCCCAGGATCATGATCCTGGGGGGAGCATAGTGTGATTGGGATCTGATCCCTGACCTCAAAATCATGTGTCTTGTCATGCACATGTGGCAGGGCAGGAGGTGTGATTGTTGGGATTGGGGATTAGATCCCCTCACACCGTTAAATGAACAGCTGTCAAGGTGCATCTACGTATGCTTTAATGCATATTAGCCTATTTTATAATGTGCATTAAAGTGTCACAAAAATGTGGTCTTTAGCTAATGCACATTAAAATAAGCCAATGTGCATTTTGCTAGTACCTCACCCTCACAATAGAGGTAGAAGATTTAATGCACATTACCTAAAGCACATTAATGAATATGTAGATGGTCTAAATGAACTAGTAGGAGTAAAACCAATAAAAATGTATTTTTATCATGAGAGTACTAAGAGGTTACACATACATAAATCTTCTGAGAAATGGAGGGACACATTTACAGTAAGACAAACATTTTAATATAAATCAAACTAAAAACCAAATATAAGAATCTGGGATTTTCATCTCCCAGGGGAACTGGGCATGTAATTTCCTCAGCCTCAGATAAAAATTCCACCTTGGAACTGTGTTTTGTCCATTCGCTATTTCAGAGGCAAACTGGTAGAGAATGGATACCTCTTTATATATGGTTTCTTAAGCATATAATAAAGTGATCAAGTAAGCCAAAAATCCATCTAAATAAACAACGATCTACCTATATATTTACCATATTCTTTCCAGACCCAGTTGATGATTTACACCCAGCAAAACAGGCAGTCATATATGTGATTCCATTATCCCCACACACAGGGTCCCATTGATTCAACATACAGTTGCAGTCAAAATTGCAACTGGCAATTAAGCTTGCTTTTGGAGAGGCAGATTGTTTTATTCTGGAGAGGAAGCAGAAAGAGTCCAAAGTGAGAATACAAAATAATTCCTTATGAGAAAGAAAACAGAAAAAAAATGAGTGGAAGCAAAGCAGTACTTACACAGGCAGTTATACACTAGCATTCAATGGAGTGTGAAAAACAGTCAGCTATAATACCAAAAATGGTGGATCTGCCAAGAAAATGGAAGATCCACCACAAAAATTTTCATGTTTCAAACAGGAACTTCTCTAGATCTGTTTTGTAGCATGAACAATATCCTGCATGCTCTGCTCTACCTTCCCCTTCCAAAGGTTGGCTTCCGGACAGATCATGGGAAGCATAGCTGTATCCCTGCCAAGATCTGTAACTGTAGCTCTGCTCACCACAGCAAGCTGTCACAGAGCCAGGTGTGGCCCTGAGGAACCCTGCTGCTACCACCTCTGATATGACATTGCTCATCTCATAATTAAGGCTATCAATGTGGCTACAGAGATCTGTGAAGAATAAGTATAGCAGAAAGTGAATTGCCACTCTCTATGCACCACTAACTACTGGTGACTAGAGACTTCACTTGACTTCACTAGAAGCCTTTAGAGCAGAGCTTTCCAAACTGTGTGCCGCGACACATTAGTGTGTCGGTGGCAGTGTGTAGGTGTGTCGTGCGAACTGCAGAAAATTTTGCGGAAGTGCACCGCGGAGCTCCCTTACTCGCGTCTGCTTCCCTTGGCCCCTCCCCCGGAACTGAATTACTGTGTCGCGAAATGATGCATGTCTAAAAAGTGTGTCACCAACATGAAAAGTTTGGAAAGCTCTGCTTTAGAGTATCTGCTGTCTTGTGAAAAACTAGTATTTTTAATCTTTCTTTGACTAATCTCCAGCTCACTGAGTACCATGTTTTTGCAGAACTACAGTAATCTCCATCAGACAAAAGGCTGAAATCATTTGGTACCTAAACTAAAAAAAAGCCAGGCTGGCCTACCTGTTTCCTGAATAATACTGGTGTCTGATTTGACAAAAAAGTTTGGGGAACATTTAAGTGAATATGAGCTAAATTTCAAGAAACATGGACTGAGTTTTTTTGGCTGAGCCTTGGGTGAAAAACTATGCAAAGCCATAACGGTTTAAGTTGAATTTTCCCATACTTTTTAAATCTAAGTCAAACCGGATATTCAAAACAAAACCAGGGAATTTGCCTCTCCATTACTTTCACTTGGGATAAATATTTACACTAATGCAAAGTGGATATAAAATGCTACCAATTTTCCCCATCCATATGTACCCATCAAAAGGCTTGACTTTATATTTTTTCACTAGCAGGAATATTTATACAAGGTCTGAGATTTCATATGTTTAAATTCACATGAGCTTAAATTAAAATAAGATCTACACAGTGACATAGGAAATATTTTTCACAACAACCTTCTGGTGAAAAATACAGATTCAAAAACATTAAAACATTTTAAAAATGTGTTGATTTTTTTCTGATTTCTTTTATGTAAAAAAACCTTTAAAATTGAAATGACCAGTACCATTTTTAATGGAAGAGTTTGAGTTTTTAATTTAACAAAACTTTAAAAAAAAACTCCATTTCAAAACCTAAATAATTTTGCCAAACTTTGAAAAATAATAATGAAAAACAAATAAATAACTGTCTACCTTATTGTAGAGTCATCTAAAAACCAGCACCGCTAAGTTCTCAATGACTGTTATTGGGTATCATAGATTCATAGATGTTAGGGTCAGAAGGGACCTCAATAGATCATCGAGTCCGACCCCCTGCATAGGCAGGAAAGAG